CGCTTTTAAGAAGCAGATGTATGGGTCTCTGTGTGCTACTGTACGTGGACGATGAGTTTATGATTCATGTTCAGTAGTCAGATTATTCCAAGAGTGTTTTAGATTAATATGTGGGAAGTGTTGGAGGGGGAAACATTCCCAAAAGAAGTTTTTGAGTCTTTTGGGGTGTGGAAATGTCTCAATAATTGTAGAGATCGAGAGAGCGGGCTTTTCTGAAAGAAAGAGGATGCATGCAGTGAATTTCAATGGCACACTTTAATTGAACTTTGAGAACGATTCGGGCACCTTCCATTTCTATGCAAACTGATATGAAGATCCTTCTGGATGGAAAGGCAGTGTGAGGAATTAAAACAAGTAAAACAAGACTCTTCCCTTAAATTGTCAGGTGGCAGAGGTGAATCCCTTGATATAATTTGGATTTCTAATGATAGTGGCATGAATTGACTTAGGTTCCCATGAGAAAGGGAAAGAAAAAAAAAACCTCCACAGCCAGGAATGGACATCAAAGGATCAAAGAAATCCCAGACTTGCTGCCCTAATAGATCAATTTTTGTGATATGTTAATGTTTAGCTGGAATCAGAGGGCTTATTCATGCAAACATATTTCTCACTGAGTGCAGCCTCTGGGGATAATATGTGTGTGGCACCACAGAGCGATTGCTGTTGTCAGAACTCTAACTTCATCTCGAGGGTAAAGACTTTGTAAAGGAGCAAGTTCTCACACATTCCGCTGAAAGTTAACTAAACACTGAGAAATCAGCTGAGGGGGAGAATATATGGCAAAAACGTGCATTTGTGTATTTAGTGCTTTTTAAAAAGATACTAGTTTTCAGGTCCCTCAGCATGATGATGCTGAATTGCACAATTATGCCAGTGTACGGATGTGGAAGCAGGGCACAGTTGCATGATTGTGCAGTGGTGCCATTGCAACAGTCCTGTCCTGTTGTAGTGCAAGGGAGCGATTGCCCCTTTCTGCCATGCAAAATGGAAAAGCTGGTTTCACAAGAAGGTATTGGATGCCTCCTTGTGATCGTAGTCAAAAAGTGCAAGCGCTTGCAACACAATGGCTGCTGCAGGAGCCTTACTGCTAGGACTGAACACAGGCTTAACAACTTTGCTTCGCAGTGTAACTGTGACAATCTTTGGGTTGCGGTGTTGCAGCCAGACTTCAAATGCATACTGTGAAATGATGGCAACATTAAAAAAAACCAAGCATTCCTGCAGCCGAAATACGGCACTGTTTCCTAGCCTTCAGGAGGAAATGTCTTTCTCTGGACTGGCTCAAGTTAAGAGATTCTGTCGGGAGCCCTTTGAAAAAATGAAACTGCTCGGAGATAAACCTCACGGAATCCTCCCCATATCAGACATTCCTTTTGGGTGGAGGCTGGTTTTTCAGGCGTGCTTTCCATTCTTACCAGAGTTCCCAGGAGGTGAGGCAGCACCGGTGTTTGTTTGACGATCCTTCCAAGAAAGGCAGACCGTTGTGCCAGAGACATTGATTCCCTTGGTTTTTTTGTTGTTGTTGTTTTGCTGATGAGAAAAGTTTCATAGCCACATGCAATGTGCTTTTATGTTTTATGGCTAATTGTGGGTTTGACGATCCTTCCAAGAAAGGCAGACCCTTGTGCCAGAGACGTTGATTCCCTTGGGTTTTTTTTGTTTTTTTTGTTTTTTTTTTGTTTTTTTGGCTGATGACAAAAGTTATGTAGCCACATGCAATGTGCTTTTATGCTTTATTGCTAATTGTGAGAGCATGCAGAGGTGCTTCCTCATCTGGTGATCTCAAAACGGGTGCTGCAGTCATCTGCCACTTAAGATTGGAAGAACTGCCTTGCTGGATGAGGCCAGAGAAGGCTCCGTAGTTTCTGTCATGGCCAGACTGAGATCTGACTTTCTCAGCTTATTTTGTTTTTCCCCAAAACTGCATGCCACATTTTAACCAAAATATATACAGTTTCACTTACAAGAGAAAGGAATTATCAGGACACACTTCTCAACTGCTAGAGCAGTACAACAGTGGAATCGGTTACATCGGCAAGTGGGAAGTGCTCCAACGCTGGAGGCATTTTAAACAAAACGGGACCACCTTCTGTCAGATCTGCTTCGATTTGGATTCCTGCCTTGAGCAGGGAGGGTTGGACTCAATGGCCTCAGAGGCCCCTTCCAACTCCATTATTCTAGGATTCTAAGAAAGAAAAATATACTGAACATGCAACATTATTCTAGGATTCTAAGAAAGAAAAATGCAGGATGCGTATTCCATAATGTCATTTTATGTTTCTCTTCACCCATTTGAAGGTGGTGCAGAGGTGGAAGGGCTGTGTTATTTTGGCTGCCATGGGTGTCACTCCGTGTGTGTTCATGGCATGCCCAAGATCTAAAGTCCACGTCTCTGCCCTCACCAGGCAGAGGATCCCAGGAATCTCAGGAGAGTGTTGACCTGAGACCTCAGAGAGCTGCTGGGTCATGGGGCCATGAAATTCTGGGGGCTCTGCTCCAAAACAGAAACTTTCCCACGCTCTGTTGTCTGGAACGCTCAGTGTCATGTGGTGTAGCCGTTCGGGTGCTGGCCCAGGACTCGGGGATCCCAGATTCAAATCACCATCCAGCCCTGAAACTTGGGGGCCAGTGATGCTCCCTCAGCCTGACCTACCTCACAGGAGGATGCTAGGGTATTGACGTGCCGTTGCAGTGCAGTGCTGGAGGCAGGACCTGTAGGTTCAAAGCATGGAGACGTTATCATGAGTGAGGAAGCATCATTTCCCTTAAGGCTCCTCTGTTGCATCTAGTCTTTGCTGTCATCCTCACAGTAGCTTGGCCATTTCTTTAGCAATGATATGTATTGTTTCCAGTTGTCCTTATTACTCTACAAAGTATTATGTATTATTGCTTGGGCTTAACTGAGCAATTGAGGTCCATTCACTTTGCAAATGACCTGCTCCCGGTAGAGATGGAAACGGTTGGAATTGATTCATGAATGTGGACCAACTGTCTGAGTTCATTAAATCTAACTGCCTGCATTTTTAAAAAAAATTTCTTGGAGGTCTGGCTAAGGGAAGTCCACTGGCAATACAAGCGTCTTAATTCCCTAATTTGTAGCCTTGGGTTGCCATGCCAGAAGTTATACCCCCCAGCTCTGAAAGAAGAGCTGTTTGAGTGTCCTCTCCACCCACGCTAAGGAAGCCACCATCCCTGGGCAGGTTGACCCCGGATTCATCTTACAGAGGACATCAAATGGAAAGATGTGGGAGAGACACCCTAAGGTGGCCTCCAGCCAGAGGGATAATTACGTGAAGGTGGGGGAGCAAAGGGTGGGAGCAAAACCAGAGGCAGCTCCCTTCATTGGGAAGAGTCTTAACAGTCTAAATAAAGACAAAAAGCAGACGTGGTGGAAGTGGGAGGAGGCTGAGAGAGAGAGAGAGAGAGAGAGAGAGAGAGAGAGAGAGAGAGAAGACCGGGCCAGGCAAAGGCAGGGGAGGGTGTGGAATGAGATCACAGACAGAAAGAAGGCTTTCAAGGACAGAACGAGGAGTTTAAGGTCTGGCGGGGTGGCAGCTACTGCCGAGACGTGATCTGTCTCGGACGAAGGGAAAGAGCCAAGGATGTTAATCAGTTGCGATTTTCTTAATATGCTTTCAGGGGGAGTAAAGATATCGTGGTGTGACAAGGAACTACACGAGCGCTGTTGATAGAACAGGGTTGTGGCATTTGAGGAGACACAGAACAGGAAAAGGAAAAGGAGGCATGGAAATTTTTCTGCTGGGAAAGAACATGGCTGGGGCGGGGGGCATAAGGTGGGTGGATGGGGTAAAAATTCTGCATCAAGAAGACATAAATTCTGTGTCTGGCGTGGTCTGGGTTAGGTTCAGCTATATTGGCTTGGTTATGATTAGGGTATGGGAAGTGACAAGGAGGAACACATGGGGCATTGGAGTCCTGCCTCTTAATCACTGAGGAATCACCTCAAATCCAAGTGTTCCTGACATTGTTTCAATCCATGAGGGCTAGTAACTTGAGTGAAAAAGAAAAGACTATTTTCTCTTCAACCCAGTCAGTGGCCAAAAGGCTATTGCTACCAGTAGAAAAGGACAACAGAGTGGGGGAGAGGAGCAAACTAATTTCCTTGGCTCATACATACTGCTAGTTGCTTCTGGGTCAAACTAGAGATTAACTGGAATATGTATTCCACTGATTCATCAATATCTTTTCCAAAATGGGATTTCCTTCAAGGGATGTAACTCAGGCCTGCACATGATACCTGTGTTGGTTTTCCAGCCACAAAATCAGGCACGCTAAGTGCAAAGTATATAGGTGAGGAAAAGCCTGTGCTGTGAAAAACATGCCCTTCCTGTTTCAGAATCTAAGAAATATGCTATTTAGCATCAAATTTAGCCAAATTAACACGGCATTATATGTTTCTATTGTGTGAAGGACTGTCGTTCCTCATAGGAGCCTTCAGATTTTAAGGTCTTCCAAGGAGTGCCTTCTCTAATAAAGGCACATCCATTGAGGACCTGACAGACGGGATTTTCAGTGGATGTTCTCAGTCTGTGGAATTCCCTTCCACAAGGAATTAGGTGAGCCCCGTCTCTGTCCTCTTTCCGCTGGCAGGCAAAGATCTTTTGATCACCAACTGAAATGCAGAGAAAAGAGTTTCCGAGAGTTTTTTCCCCGCCTTCAAATGTGTGTGTGTGTTCTTTGAATATTTTGTGTTTAAATTATTTAAGTTTAATGATCTTTTAATAGTATTATATACTTTCTTTTATTTTCAGTGTTTTAATTTTTGCCTTTGGCTCCTCTCTCCACCATTTTGTATCTATATCCCGCAGAAAGGCAGGATATAAATGAAACTAATCCATCAATAAACATAATGTCTAATTTGACCCACACTCTGTATTTGTACTATAGCCCATTTTTGAAGTAGTATCTCCATTCTGTGTCTCGAAGCTATAGCTGCTTGGTAAATACGAACATTCTAACGTGTGTGTGTTTCATCCTAGGGCTCTAAATGAGAATATGGCCAATGGCATTGAAGATCTTATTGGGATTCCATTCCCAAACCACAGCAGCGAAGTCCTTTGTGGCTTGAACGAACAACGGCACAACGGCCTCCTCTGTGACGTCATTCTCATTGTCCAGGACCAAGAATACAGGACCCACAAGTCTGTCTTGGCAGCTTGCAGCCAATACTTTAAGAAACTCTTCACTGCCAGCACTTTAGCAGACCAGCCCTATGTTTACGAGATAGACTTTGTCAAGCCTGAAGCACTTTCGGCCATCCTGGAGTTTGCCTATACCTCAACCCTCACCATCACCACCTCCAACGTCAAGCACATCCTCAACGCAGCCAAGATGCTGGAGATCCCATGCGTTATCAACGTTTGCCTTGAAATCATGGAGCCCGGAGAGGAGGAGGAGGAGGAGAAGGAGATGGAGGAGGAAGAGGAAGAAGAGGAAGAGGATGAGGAGGAGGAAGAAGAAGGGGAAGAGGAAAACGAAGGCTTTGCAAGCCAGAACCTGCCAGATGTCCAAGATGTCAGCTGTCACCAAAGTCCTTCAAAATCTGATCTCGCTGAAGAAACGTACTCGGAAATGCCAACTGGTTTTTCCAACCACTTTCCGGGAAATAGCTCGAATGGGTCTCTGGGGGTGATCAGGGACTTCTCTATTGAGTCCCTCCTAAGGGAGAACTTGTACCCTAAAGCCAGCCTTCCAGAACGGAGACCGACGCTGTCCCCATTTATGCCTGACCTCTTACCCCATCTGTGGAGTGGCGATTTCAGTGCTTTCCCCCCAATGGAGGAGCAGGCGGTGGACAACGGGCCCTTGGACCTGGTGATCCGAAAGCGGAAGATCAAAGAGGAGGAGAAAGAGGAACCCCCGCCCGCCCCCTTCCCAGACAACCTCTTCAAGGACCTCTTTGCCAACAACCCAGCCCCCCATTTGGGCCACGTCAAAGCCGAAAACGATTATAGCGCTTATCTGAACTTCCTCAGTGCAGCCCACTTTGGAGGGGTTTTTCCTCGGTGGCCGGAGGAGAGGAAGATCAAACCCAAAGCTTCTCAGCAGTGTCCCATCTGCAACAAGATAATAATGGGGGCTGGGAAGCTGCCGCGACATATGAGGACCCACACGGGAGAGAAGCCATATATGTGCAGTATTTGTGAAGTTCGATTTACCAGGTCTGCATATATGTTTTTTTTAAGTATAAGACGTCCTTCCCCCAGCAGGGTTTGATAGATGATAACTGTGTGATATTTCTGCACTGTATGACATTGCGTCATTATCCTTCAGAGGAAATGGGGGCGATATATGTGTCACCCATCCATACTTTATGGGCACAGCCGTCCTTTGAGGTCTGATGGAACGAGACAGATTGAGTCTCCAGGATTTTGATGTGATCTGGCTTGTCTGAGTCCAGTGCTTCTATCCTAGCCAACCTCGACAAGGCACCCTTCAAATGTATGGCATTACAATTCCCATAATCCCCAGTCAACATGATTAGACTTCCCTCCCTCTTTGTCTAGTACTTACTTGCTTTATTTATTTGTTTTTTATATTTTTAATCCCACCTTTCTCCTTCAAAAGGACCCAAGGCGGCTTACATCATTAAAAGACAATATTTTAAAGCTAAAACAACAAGTATACAAAAATTTAAAAAGAAGTGAACGATATTATATTGAAAACAGTAACTATGATCAATACTAAAAACACATTTAAAAGCAGGAAGACACTGTCAAAAACCCCACTCAGGCAACCAGTCATTAAGGGAAGGCTTGGCTAAAGAGAAAGGTCTTTGCCTGCTTGCCGAAGGACAACAAATCCAGGGCCAGCCTAGCCTAGCCTCCTGTGGGAGGGAGTTCCAAAGTCTGGGAGCAGCCACAGAGAAGGCCCTCTCCAAATGCACCTGTGAAGGTGGCGAGACTCAGAGAAAGGCCTCTCCTGATGATCTTAACACTCAAGCAGCCTCATAAAGGGGGACATGATCCTTGAGACAGCTTGGGCCCAAGATGTTTAAGGCTTTATTGATTAAAACTGATGTTTTCCCCCCACACCTATTCCCCCCAGTATTAGTTAGATAATAATGGGGAAGGGGAGTAAAAAGACTAAGACTTTTGTTAGCAGATTTATCAAGGATGTCAGAGAGGAAGAGGGCAAACACCTTTATTAAAAATCAGTCTCTTTTTAAAAAAAATTATTTATTTATTTATTTAGCTTTGGCAGAAGGGGCAGATCAAAACGTCCCATGCTGGAGGGCTGCCTGCCAGAGTTGACCATACTGGGCCAAATGGATCAACAGGCTGAATCAGGATAAGGCACCTTTCTGCATTTCTTAATGCCCGCCATATGCCATTAACACCACCATCCTAAAATTCTGATTAGAGATGGGATTATTCGTACTCGAATATCCTCACGCAGCTGGAGTTAACGAGGGTCTGCCAACTGGGACCAGACCGTCCACTCATCGTCCGGCGGCGGTGCCGGCAGCCACAGCCTTGCTCATCCCCCGGGGTCCTGCTCTCTTCCTGCTTGGCTGCAGGAAAGGGGAGGGAGGACGGGTCTCCCTGCACGGTTGCTGAGTGGCTAGCCAAGGAGGAAGAGGTCAGAGCTCCAGGAGCGATCGGAAGGATGAGCAAGGCCGTTGCCAGATGCGGATGATGGGAGCTGTTATTGCAAGGTCTGGAAGCCACCAGTTTGGGGAAGGCTTCTTTTAAGGACTGAATCAAATGAAGGGGGGTTATTTCGTCTACAAATACGAATACCCCCATCTCTAATTCTGATAGATCAACAGCCAACATAGGACCAGTGTGTCTACTTCAGAGTCTTTACGAATTTCTTTGTTAAGACTATCTCTTTCTGAATATCTCAGCCCACAAGACCAGGAGCTGTAGTGGGGATAACTCACATAAAGGACATGTGATTTCCCCTGGGAGAATCCTTTCTCTGGTTTAGTTATGGTGCAGTCCAGTGGAGAATTCTCGACCGCAAGCCCCTTTGAATGGCAAGGATCATGAGGCCATGTCTTCTGCAGAGATGGGGAAACACTGCATTTTTGAGACTATGGGTGCACTCGGACTACACAGTTACAGCTGTCTGATTCCACTGGGATGGCCCAGACTACGTCATATGGAATGCTGGGAACTGCATTTCAGTGAGAGACTTAGCATTCTTTGCCAGAGAGCGCCAGTTCTGCTCCTCAGAACTACAGTGGAGAATTCTAAGATCTTCATCAAATGACGAAGCAACTGCTCAGTGGTCGAGGCACCTAGCTGCAGATCCCGAGGTTGGGAGTTCGATTCTCCAGGATGCCTCCTTGACAGGGGCTGGACTGGATGACCCACAGGGTCCCTTCCAGCTCTGCAGTTCTAAGATAAGATGGAGTCAGCTTTCTGGAACTATTTTTCACATTAGTTGAAGATTGCTTGCCTTCGCGAACTTAGAAAGTAGGCTGAGTTAGAAGCCTGATCCGCTCAGGATTGTCAACTCGGATTGATGGCACCTCCCCCACCATATGTGGCAGGCATCTTCCTAGGCTTTCCTGAGATGCCCTGTTATTCCCTGGTGGTCTTCCATCCAAGTGCTGATGAGTAGGTACAAACCGGACTAGCTTGCAAAACCAGGCATGATCGGGTGCCTTCAGGATGATAGGGCTTCCGGTCTGGCACCACTCTTTTGCAGACCGAAGGCAAGCAACAAGGAAGCAGGGTTATCTTTCCCTCCACCCTCCCACGTCAGCTCAGCTTTGGCAGACTTTGCTGGTTATTCCTGCTGTTCCCAGTCATCTTTTGGGCATCAGCAGCTTCTGCCCCCCTCCCCTCTCTTGGCTATAATCTCCCATTGTCATGTTATGTTCGGAGATGATGATGATGATGATGATGATGATGATTGTTGTTGTTGTTGTTGTTGTGTTGTGTTGTGTTGTGTTGTTGTTGTTGTTGTTTAGTTATGAATTATTCTCTGCCAGGACAGACCTGGGAATTTATTTGAGTTTTTAACTCACTGGACTTTTTGAACGATTTTTGTAAAAAGCTCCGCAGGGAAATGTATAGGCATGGAAGAGACATAAGAGACCCTGAAGAGGGAGAATCTCAGTCTTTTTCTCCTTCCCCTGTCCCCCCCCCCGGGGGAAAAGGGGATCCACTAAGTAAGGGAAGGGAGTTTATTCATCCATAGAGAAGGTACCCCAATCTAGTGTCAAAGAGAAGAGGAGCATCATTTTATTCTTAAAATGCCTTGTCACCGCCTTCCTGTACCTGGCAGCTTCGAGTGATGGTGGACTACAACCCTCATATTCTCCAGTTAGCATGACTGGTTGTATTCAGTGTGGATGATGGGAGCTGTTATTCCACTGGTCTGGAAGCCACCAGTTTGGAGAAGGCTTCTTTTAAGGACCGAATCAAAAGGGCATATACTAGCAAAATTCCCATGTTTGTGACTGGCAAAAGCGGGCAATGGGGAGGGTGTGTTTCCTGATTAGTGCTTTCCTCATGAGGTCCCACCCATGGTCCACAGGCTGACCTAGAGACCTGGGATAGATTCTGCTCCATGGTACGATACTGCTGTTTTTCCTCATAGGAATCAATGGTCTCTAATTGGTAATATTAAAAAGAGGGAGGGCGTAGTTTGCTGGTCAACCCAAGGCCAAAAACACAAACCCATTCAGTTGAAAAAGACAGAACAAAACAACCCTTAGGGTTCCTTTTGCTAATGAGAGATATGGGGTGTTGCTTTGCCTGGGCCAGATCAAGACATGCCAGGGTTCGAGGGTGAGATCCGTATGGCGTCCTGAGCAAGGCCCACTGAAATTAAAGGCTGGTCAAAAAAGGGTCCATCCTCTTTAGCCAGCATGGCTCATGGAGTTGTAGTCTGGCAAATCTAGATGATGTTCATTTGGGGGATGGCTGCTCTGCCAGCTAAGTAGACGTACGGCCTTGCCTTGTAGTGAAAGTAAGCAAAAGAAGGGATCAAGACCTCGTGTCTGATTTGATTGCATCTTCCAGTTGGTCAGCAAGGGTTTCCTGGCTCGCTTGGAATTAACAATAGCAAATCAGTGGTCAGGAGTTTGTTTAACTTCCAGGGCTCCTGATCATCGCTTTTGATTTTGCAGCCTCTGTGTGGCTCACTTAGAACACAAGCAGGTGTAGTCTCACTGCCCATTAGGTTGGATAGAGAACGAGTTCCAGGGACTGCACCTCCCAAAGAGACCTAGGCCTCCCAGGAACGATAATTGCCGTTTGCTTTTTTTTGTGTACATTAACAAAAGTAAACACAGGCCTCAGAGGTTTCCAAGAGAAACCCTCTTTCAGGTGAGTGAAATGTAGGTGTTTTGTAAGTATCTGTCTGTGGCCTAGAACTCCCAGAATTCTGTCTAGGGAATTCTTGAAGAATTCTGGGAGTTGAAGTCCAAAAAAACAGCTGGATAGTACAGTGGTTTAGGCCTCTGTCTGTAGAGCCCAGGTTTGAGAGTTCGATTCTGCAGTGGGCCGCCCTGACGGGCTGGACTTGATGATCCGTCGGGTCCCTTCCAATTCTTCAGTTCTAAGATTAAGATTAACCTGAATGGCCATCCCTGTTCACCAGTTGGTTGTTTCCTCCAACATAGCTTTATGAATGTTCACAATGACCAGACAGTATATGGAGCTAGACTTGAAGCTATTTAATGGTGATGTCGTGAGAATGGCTGATGGTCAGATTCCAAAATACCTCCTGTATGGAGAATTAATGCAGGGAAATTGCCCCAGAGGGAGACCACAGCTGCAATACAAGGATGTCTGCATGTGGGATCTGAAGGCCTTAGGAATGGACCTCAACAGATGGGAAACTCTGACATCTGAGCGTTCAGCCTGGAGGCATGCAGTGCATCATGGCCTGTCCCATTTTGAAGAGACTCTTGTCCAGCAGGCTGAGGCCAAGAGGCAGTCCTGAAAAGCAGCAAAACCAGGGAGCTGGCCAGGGGACAGATTGTATTTGTCTTCAGTGTGTAAGGGATGGTCACTCTCGAATTGGCCTTCTCAGCCACACTAAATGCTGTTCCAAGTCCTCCATACAGAGCACGTTACCATAGTCTTTCGAGACTGAAGGATGCCTACATTCATTCACTAGCTGTCCCCATTGGCACCTTAGAAGGCCAAAGCGTGGCATGTGGCATTGTAGAAAATTATAGAAAAAAGCGGTGGCAGAA